TATGAGTTGGTACGCCTGCGGATGCCACAAACGCGTTTTGCAGGGATGGCGGAAACGTAATTCAATGACAATACAGTGCGAAATGATGTTTTTACATTTATATAATGTTAATTATACCTTGATAAAACGTGTATACACGTTGAAACTAATTAATTGACGTATTTTAAAAGGCATATTTGGGGGGCGAGAGGTAAGCGTAAGCTCCTCAGGGAGGGGGAGCTGTCTATAACAGCTCCTCCTCCAAGACCGCTGTGTGTCAACTTTGTTCAGCAAAGTCGTACTGTGCTATGCACAGCCTGCAAGGGGTGCCTCTGCACTCGCTGAAGGCAGCGGATCTAGCGATGGCTGTGTCGTGACTAGACAGTCCTAGGGTAGGGAGCAGCTGCTCTAGTACTGGCCTTGGGCGGAGGTGATAATCACAAATCCGGCCAAGGCCTAGATAGCTAATGTTACCGCCAACTGTTACAGGTATGTGTGCAGCTGTGACAGGACTGAGCTGGAGACGATGAGGGGTCCAACCCCGAAAGGGTCCAGTCTTGGACATTAGCAGGCGCAGTGACTGTAGTGACATTAGCAGGTCACGGTTCGGCTGCTAAATTGCTAACCTATTGTTTTCTTGTTATAGTCATGGCTGAGCGTAAACAAACGGAATTACTACCTACCCCAGGTGAGTACTTGCTCAAGCGGGGAATCCCACTCCTCCTTTTTAGGGGACATGCCCATGGGTTCTGGGGAGGGCAACAATCAGCTAATCTCTAACAATGATGCTATTGTACAGAACATCGCAAAATGGAGACGGAGCCTGGGGAGATCATGGAAACGCCAGAGATCTTCTCGGATAGTTCCTTGTCAGTAAGAACTCCATCCAAATCATCAACTGATGTCCTTGAGCTTTGTTATAGGTTAGATGCGGACCGACATACGCCACTAGACACCAGCAATGCTGGCGATTCACCGCCTCTGGCGGGCGAATCGTCCGACTCTGAGATTGTTTCTACAGTTATGACCAGAACTGAGTATAGAATGTCTGTTACAGAGAGGAAGGTTGCTGAGGGCACGTGGATTCCCAACAGACAGTGGAGAAAGAGGAAGCGAGAGTCCATGGGTTCCCCTGGGGAAGGTTCTGGCATATCACCGATGCGTAGAATCGGACCCGATAGTAACCCTGGGTCTTCTCAAAAACCTCCCCCAAAGAGAAATAGATCTAATCGATCAGCAGATGGATCCGTTGCAGGTGTGGTCAGTTATAGAGACCAACTTGTAGGTCACAAGTTGGCAGTTGCTCCGGCGGCCTATCCTGACGCGAGATTCACTGTTGAGGAATGTGACTTGTTGCAGGACAAACTGATGGAGCTGGTGTTTGGTGATGACGGCACCAACCTTCCGCATCAGTTTGAAAAAATTTACCATGAGAAGGGTGCTCTTGTTGTAACTTGTGGTAATTCTGAAACTTCTGACGGGCTAAAGAGGGAGCCACCGACGTGGGGTGTCATAGCTTATAATGTCATAGCTTATAATCGTGAATTTGTTCCATAGCTTATAATGTTGAAAATGTGGCATAGCTTATAATCAGTTATAAGCTATGCCACACTTTCACGAAAAATTATAAGCTATGCCACAATTTCACTAAAACGTTATAAGGTATGACACATTTTCAGTTTCACAACTTATAATGGTCAAATAGTGGCGCAGCTTTTAATTCCGATTCTGTTCTATAGCTTATAATCCTGATTTTGAGTCATACCTTATAATCCTGATTTTGGGGCATAGCTTATAATTGAAGAGAATGTTGCATTGTGGGAATGGCATCAGCTGCTCGCTTCAGTCAGGTCTACCATATATACGATATTTTATGGTAGGATACGATAATTATTGTAATTGACCGTACTGACAACTGCGATATCGTAATTTATAACCTAAACATTTATTTATTTAAATGTTTTAAACGATTTTTATACGAGAAATGGCAACAATTTCATGCTATATGACAATGAAAATGCAAGAAATATTTATAGTGAGAAGTTAAAAGATATGAAAATGAAGTGAAGGATAACGGCATTGAAAATTAATGAATCTTGTCAATAGTCCGGCTGGTGTTGACAGAAGATAAAAAAGAGGAATAATAATTATTAATAAATTGTAAACATCAAAAATTCCAAAACTATTGAGGTGTTGAAATCCAGTAAGTTGTGTTTTAATCCAATCCTGTTCCTAGGCCTTGTTATTCAAAGTAACAAAATGCAGTAGGCTATTATTTGCTTGAGTGTTATTAGGTTAAGTTAGTAGGTACAGTTGCCTAGCCTACTTAAGCTTAAGGTAGCTGTGACTCAAGTTACAGATTTCCTGTGACAGGCCTAAACAATTAACTTAATAAAAATATCAGTGAATGTATTCAACGGCTGCACTTTATTTTACGTCCTACACTCATTCGAATGAAAATATCGATTATTAGATTGTTTCATTCGATATATCGTTTGGTTAGTTAGGTTAGGTTAACCTTACCTAACTAACCAAATGATATAACTTATCTAATAATCGATATATCGATCGATATTTTCATTCGAATGAGTGTAGGACGTAAAGTAAAGTGCAGCCCTTAAGTTTACGTCCTACACTCATTTGAATGAGTATTAAGTATTCGAGTAGGCCTATATTCGATATAAGTAGGCTATCAAGTTTGTATTATTTGTGTACTGTAACCTTAGAAATGGTAAGCGTGATAATACTGAGCCAAGAGATTTAACTTGGGTAGGCCTACAGTTTCTTAACTGGGCTACGCTAACTTAAGTTAATATATTTTATTGAACTACAGTATTGAATTAAAAATATTGATTAATAATAGATATTTTAAAATATACCTATCTAAGTTTATTATAAAATTAAATTATCATAACCTAACTTAACCAACCAAACTTGCTGATGGTGAAAAAATCGCATGTAGGTTTACTAATCGAATCGATAGTTTCAATAAAATTAGCGTAGCCCAGTTAAGAAACTGTACCCTTTAACTTATTCTACCATCAATACTGTTAATACTATTCAATGAAATGGCGACGATACATATTAGGTATTTTAAGCCAAGTATGAATGGAAATTTAGTAGTCTATAAAATAACTTACAATAGGCAACGTCACAAAACTTAAGTTAGGTTAATTTCACACAGTAAACAAGGCAGCAAACCATGCAGTTAACTTATGGCAAAAAAACATGTAGGCTACCTAAGAAAATGAAATTGTGACACATAAGTTACCTGAGTACATGAATAAAATTACAAATTAGGCAAGTAGGCCTATGGGTCAACTTTTTTCATATTAGCCCACCATACTTACAATTGATTGTAATTGGCAAAGGCAAATATCCTTGTATTATGTTTCTTTCATAACCTAAAATCAAATGAAAATTCGGTTTGAAGTTGTAAGGCGGGATAAATCTGAATGAGTTCCCGAACTAGCATGATCAGGCCATGGGACCGGGTTTTAATGAGTTCTATGCAGAGAAGGGGCCTAGGCCAAAAAATGGGGTTTTCTCATTTTTTACCCTTAAAACACAAAATTTATCAATTATTCTCTAGACCTTTCTAAAGAAATTAAAAAAAAAATAATATGTCATCTATGTATCGTGTTGTGTATAGTGGAGTCGTGGATTAGTTGTCCGCTTAACTGTGTGTGTGTGTAAGTGTTCGCATAAAAAACTCAAGCTAACCGTTGCACCTATAGTGTTAAAAAATTGCACGAATCTTAATTATGACACCAATGGAAAGACACCATAAAATTTAGACGATTCCGTTCAGTAGTAATTATAAAACCCTCAAAATACATTTTTAAATTTGTCCCATAAGAATAACATTAGAAGCTACCTTCTTCTACTTTTTATTTGTTTATGTTTTGCGACCAACAAAAAGCTTAATTTATATTTTAAACTATATATATATATATAGGCTATATTTATTTTTATAAATCAAACTTGAAAGCTTTATTTTATACTAAGCTATTAATGTTTTAATAAAAAACACACTTTATTAGTTCCACCTGGGTAATGACACTTGGGTCCGAGAGAACCAGTGGCCTTCGAGTTTTTAAGTTTTTATCTACCAATCCAAATATTTGTACAAAGAAAATATGCCCTACCTTGAGCTATAGTTCTATATTCTGTTTTTACTTTTAACAAGAAGTAGGCCTGAATGATGTACACTGCCTATTTTTGTTCCAGGTAAATTTTCTTGTAAAGCTTGGAGCATTGCAAATGTTTGGTGTTAATGTATGAGAGTACTTCACATGTAAACAATATTGATGAAGTTGTTTGCTTATTTGGGGCCAAATAAGAAGGAGAGAAATTTTCTTGGAAAAGAATCGAAAGCAATAAAGATAAGTAAGTTTGGCTAAGTTATCAATATGATTAAAAGCATTTTCAGTCCTTGTTTAACATTAACACGTTGACTGCTAACGCCGACTCTAGTCGGCGTCGCTAGCACTTCAATGTGGCGCGCGCCGACAAAAGTCGGCACCAGACCAACAGAAATATATTGAGTCAGTGTGAGCTTAGCCTCAGACGGAGACGTTATAATCGTTGCCAGCCTGCCAGCTTAGAATGCGAGCTTTACTTTGGTGTAGGTTGGTACTAAAATTTCCCATAAAATCCTGTCTGGCAATGCTTTTGTCCCGGTTTCGGGGATTTTTTCTCTTCAACCCACATTACAAAGACACTGGATACGGATCCGTGCAGTGCTGCTACCTTTGGGTGTTTTAGTGAACTACATCCACTCTCGGGGTAACGCAGCACAGTCACCACTGCTCTTTTGTGATTCGTCAGACTGGAATATTTGAATGCCAATTGCGTTCGCTGATTCGGTTGCGTGCCGGGGCTTCGCCCGCCACTGGGGAGCGCCTGTACGTTGTTTTCAGCAGTCATCGTGTTAACTTATGATGTGCTGTGGCGGTTAAGTTTTTATATTTGGAAAAAAATACACTTTAATCAACTTACAGTAGCCTACTGTTCAAGTTTCAGAGTTACCTATGGTGACAGAATAATACAAGGCATGTTATTTAAGTAAGTACTGTTTTTAAATTTCTCCGTTTCAGTGCTGCGATTGGCATTTTGGACATTTGTGCTGTGTATGTGGATGTATTGGCAAGCCTGCGCTGGAAATTCGGCACAAATCGGCTGTGTTTACATCCGGTTTAGAGCATTCAAAACGGTGCCGCCAATTGAGACTGCCGTCGCCTGTGAAGTTTGCGCTGTACCGGTAATTAGATTTTTAAGTGCTAAAGGTGTGAAAGCCATTTAAATTCATTGACAGATTAGTGAAGTGTATGGGGAGAAAATTATGAGTGGCGGAATGGTACCTACGCAGGTGGGTAAGGGCATTTAAAGATGGCCGCACCAACGTTCATGAGGAGCAACGCACAGGGTGGCCATCTATCAAATTGTCATGGTGATTACCAGGATGTGAATCCGTTATATTCGGAACCGGAGACTTACGCTGTACAACTACACCAGTCTAAATATGTGGAAAGATCAAGTTATTTGTTTATAGTTTATTGCCCCCACACAACTGGAAAGAATAAAGTAGTTTCACATCTTTTTGTGGTAAAAATTGTTAATACCAGCACAGAATTAAATTAGTTATTTTTCCCCAACAGCCATTAAACCTTAGATACATCGATTGCTCATATGTAGGAGCTTGAACAAAAACGATCATACTAGTTTGATGAGACACCGTGCTTGTCAGATCATGTGAAATGAGAAAGGCTACTATCTTACTAATGTTATAAATGTGAAAGTTTGTGTGTTTGTTTGTTCGTTTGTGTGTTTGAAGTTCAATCACGTGTTAATTACTGGATGGATTGGGCTCAAATTTGGCATGATGATAGCTCACATTCACGATTAACATAGGTATAGGCATATTTTTATCTCAAAAATCCTTTTGGGCTCCGCCTTAGTTGCTCTAGAGTTTCCCATGTTAACCTTATGAGTACCGGTACTCATATTTAAATGGAATTAAAGAATTTAGTCAGCTGTTTCAACTAAAAAGGTTGGTTCTATGATATGCAAAGGCATTAAAAGTTATAAGATTTACCAACAGGATGCAGCACTATTATTTTTTTTTCATTTATGAAAACAGCTAATTTGAACTAAGCAGCAACAAAAAACTGTGATACACAATGATAACTGTCTGTTTACAGTTATGTTTATGTTTTTAATTTCACGAATAATTTGTGATATTTTGTGAATCTTTAATAATTAATTTTTTTCTTTTGTTTGGGTGAAGTGGTAGAACATTATGGCTATGGTAGATGAGTAATACTATAGTCATAGACAATAGAGTAAATATAGACTGTCAAAGAAAGGTTTTGCGATCTGCCGCTAGAGCTTTTTGCCATTCGATATCAGTTATCGGTATTCGATTCAGTGTCGTCGTCGACTACTCGCCAGCTGTTACCAGCACTACCACTCTTGCAAACGAAATGATTACTAATCGCTATTGTCGTCTTCTGCAATGGCGTCAAAATCATGAACATCTACCGCGGCTGTGTAGACATCATCATTGAATGCCGTGGTCCCGAAACGTCGTCGTCCTCGATTGCGGCAAAATTGTGAACATCTTCAGCGGCCGTATATACAATCGTCTTGCGCGATCGCAGAAAAGACGTGATCATTTTGTTCGTGGTCACGAAAACGTCGTCTAGCACAGTCGCGGTTTAAGAACATCTCCCGCGGTCGTGTAGACACATCATCGTCTTGCGCCATCACGGAAACGTGATCGTTGTCTAGCGCGATTGAGTAGCGGTAAATCATGAAATTTACCGACTTTGATATCAAAATAAAGACTAAATCCCAACTTTTCCAGACCATTTTGAAATTCAATACTAATACCTGACTTTCCCCAACTACTAGACATCCTGGTTAAATTTAATTTTGACCTTGCAAATATAAAACAAAACCTTCCAATAAACCACTTCCTAAAATTATGGATTAATAAAGAAAAACTTTGAATCATTGTAATGAAACTACAAAAGTATAACAAATATATGTTTAAAAAAAATACAATAAAAGATGGCATTTAAATTAATTTATTGCTTAATATTAAATAAGTCAATAAACTCCAATTCTGGGGGATTCCTCCAAAGTTGGCAACACTACTCCCAACTACCAATTTGTTATGGAAACGGTCGCTAGCGCTTGATGCTGCAGCGGTGTGCGCCGTAACTACACATTACCCCTGGCGGTCGGCGCCGGAATATACGCTAACCGCAGCACAGCTGGCCACTCTACTCCTGCCCAGTATGGTCAGACAAACTAGCATATGATTTTATATGATGAAGCCGTACTTGGGCTACCGCTGTATGGTTTCATCATGACATGTATTTCAATCATTCACTGGGTTATAATTTGTATGTATTTGAATGGATACATTTAATTCTTAATTGATAAAAGACTATGAAAACCGTTTAGTGCTCTTTGGTGTTCTATAGTGCTATGGTGGACACAAGAGCGTAATCTGATTTGGTTCTACAGTACTTTACTTTACTTTAATTTTAATAGTAGCCTGCTGTTAGCAGGTTTGTGCTGTGCTGGGCAAGTGTGTGCAATATCCATGGAAAAATTATGTTGAATCCTCTCACCTTGTGCAAGGATCCTTTAAGTCAATCTCAATTTCTCTTGTAGCAAAGTCCAGGACGTAAATTAACCACCAAGCTAACAAGACACCCCTTTCTCTATTTAGTTCTGATAACAATTTTGAGTTATTGTTTATTTGTTTCAGGATATCATGACAGAAGAATGCAGAAGGGTTGCTCAGCTATTAACTTCGCCTTATAATCTTTATTTATTTCAATTGTGTTGTAAGAAGTATTTTTTAAACAGTAAAACTTTCTCCAATTTATAGACTACCTATTATGATTCATTGTTGTGTTTTATTAAGGTCCCTACCCTTATCTAAGAAATATTTTATAAACCAAAATGTTTAATGCTGCTCGCCTATTATTTTTGATGAAATATTAAAATACACTCCATTATTGAGCCTAATCATATTGATTTTCACCTTTTAAAAAAGTAAGTAACACAACCAAGACCACCAGTCCTTAAATAAAAGTACTTCATAATTATCCCAGTAAGACATAGGCTAATGGATTTCCAAATTCCTCCCTAGGAGTTTATCTGCATCCGGACAACCAAATTTTAAGATTATTATATTTAAAGAATAGGCTTGCTAATACAAATATTATGTTCATTTATAACTTTTTTCTCATTATCTATACATAAAATTGATTAAAATATGTGAATGCGACTATTATTACTGGGGGGGAGGGGGCGCCACAACCATGTTTGCTCCGGGCGCTGCCAACCCTAGGGATACCCCTGATATTTACCTTAGGCCCCATTTATGCTCAAGTTTGGGTTGCAACTAAGGCTTGGTGTGTCGCCCAAAACAAGCGACAAGCAAAATTTAAATTTAATTCTTTTGTACCGAATGTGATGCAATAGTGATGGTCTAAACCAGAAATTTTGAATCTCAAAACCGAAACCAAAACTTTAAAAAAATCAAATCCCGAATCTCGAATCTCAAAAACTAAACGCGAAACTTTTTTACTTAGCTGGTTACAAAGGTCAAGGTTACAAAAAATACACATAGGTAATCATAAAATGTTAAGTATGCAATCAAAACTGAAAGAGATCAATATTCCTGACCATGACAAAACATAAATATGTGAATGTGACTGATAATCTTAAATCCCAAAAATAATTTTTTATAAACAACTGACAAAACAAATAATTAAACTTCTAACACCAACATAAACATGAATATTAAATTAATTAGAACATTTAGTGGTCAATATTTGTTTTTGCATTTAGTAAATATTGATGTGAAACTGAATTGTACCAGTTATAGTATTTAAGATACCTTTTGAAGTTCAGAATAAAATTTACTTAAAAATAAATTTAAGGCTAAAAAACAATAACAATGGCACAAAAAAATGTCAGTAGTTTCAAAAATAAAACTGCCAAAATCTTCAATTTTGAAACTTTTGAATCTTGAAACTTTGTGATCGAATCTCGAAACCGAAACTTTTCTGAAGTTTTCAGCTGATTAGACATAGGCGACTTACCCAACGGCCCTACGACGTGGTGGGGAAAGCTTCTAGCCAAGGGTCTGTCTCAGTGACCAGTGTGTCTCCAACCATCCTATGCGTGGGGTGAGTTGTTAAGTGGAGTCGTGCAAATCAATTTGTAGTTTGCTGTGTTAGTTGGCAAAAATTTAATTTTCAACAAACCCTAAAGCCTATATCCCGCAGGGATATAATTGCCACGCGTTTGGAATTAAATTAAGTTAGGAAAAACTCGTTTCATCCTCACCAACTTATACATACCGCTCCCAAAATTTCACGTCTTAGTTCAACCAAAATTCAATTTGTCCGCATTTTGGAAAAAAACTCATCCGTATTCTCTCTGATTCCAAGTGTTTTGTGTCTGACAACCTAGTAAGTAAGTAACTATATATTATTTATTGTATTAGTGTTATAATTACCTACTCTTAGTGGGTTGTACAAGCCGTTACATTTTATTTTATGTTTTGTCATTTCCTGTTCTTGAGCACATGTTTTCAGATTCAGATACTAATAAGTACATTTTGTATCCATTTTGATATAATTAATTGGTATTGATACATAGTCAGTGATTTATTTATTAAAATACATCACATAACGCCTAAGGAGTGCTTCTGCACGCAGGCAGGTAAATTGTCAAAATATAATAATAGTATAGAATAAAAGCAACATAATAATAAATATAGTAATAAACATAATAGAATAAATTATTAACAGTATTGAACAGTATTGAAAAACAAGTATAAAATAAGTTAGGTTATTAGCAAAGTTTACAAATAAGTTATATCAATGTCTATAAGTTATGTTTACTACAATCAGACTGATAAAAAAATCCTCAATTCTGTAACAACAATTGTCTAACAGGTAAGACAGTAAGTGTAACAGGAACTTTTTAAATGATTCTACCTCTCTCAGTGATAAAGGAAGCTTATTATACAGTTTGAGACCCATATAAAAAGTACTCTTTTCATAAGCAGCAGATTTATGTGTGGGGTACTGCAACACAGAGCTCATGGGCCTAAAGCTGTATTGGGGAGTTACTTCTTTTTTCTTCATAAATAGAAAAATGTTTTTTGACAAAGATTAAAGTGTTGAATATATACAAAGAGGGCACAGGTAAAATCTTCATTCTTTTAAACAAATTTCTACAAGATGTTCTTGGATTAACTTGTGCAATAACTCTTATAATTCTCTTTTGTATTTTAAATATTTTTTTACTGTCAGTGGCATTTCCCCAGAACTCAATACCATAGCCAATGTTAGAGTCCACATATGCAAAGTATACCATTATCTGAGTTTTTCATCTATTAATTTTGAAAGCACTAAAGTAACGTGAAATGCTGCATTAAGCTTAGATTCCAATTGATTTATATGATCAGACCATGTTAGAGTTGAGTCTAATTTTATTCCTAAAAGGTTGCAAGATTGAATTTTACTTAATGTGTCTTCTAACGGGTTATAGTCAATCTGTCTACTTTTTATGCTATTAGAATGGAAGTTCACACAGTATGTTTTATTTCTGTTAAGTTTAAGATTATTGACCAGAAACCATTCAATCATAAGATCAAGATCATTTTTAATTTCAATTTTTAAAATATCAGGGTTTTTATTTTTTAATACTGCAGTAGTATCATCAGCATACATTACCAATTTTGACTTAAGATTTTGTTTCAAGAGGTCATCAACATAAATAAGAAACAACAACGGACCCATTATTGAACCCTGGGGAACACCTTCAGTGACATTTTTGAAGCCTTAATAGTTAAGAGTAATTCAGTTGAACTTTTTGTTTTCTACCCAACAAGTACGACTCCACCAAATCATAAGCTTTTTGTCTAATTCCATAAAACTGAAGTTTGTGCATTAAAATATTGTGATTGACACAGTCAAATGCCCTTGACAAATCACAGAAAATGCCAATGGCATACTGTGATCCATCAACGGCACTTGCTATGTAATTCAAGACCTCAAAGAGAGCATCTGAAGTGTTACAGCCCCTTTTAAATCCAAACTGATTACTACAAGGAATGTTGATGGTTTCAAGATATGATACTAGTCTACTAGTCTATTACAGATTAATTTTTCATAAACCTTGGAGAAAACTGGCAATAAGGATATTGGTCTGAAATTCTCAAGCTGTGTTTTATCTCCTTTTTTGTAGATTGGACGAACAATACTATATTTAAGTAAATCTGGAAATATGCCTTTATTAATAGAAATGTTGATGATGTATGACAAAGGTTCAACAATGCTGTTTTTACAACTTTTTAAAATAAAAGAGGGAATGCCATTCCGAGGATCTGGAATTTTTCAATTCACTAATTATGGACCTAATCTCACTTGAGGTAGTTAATTTAAAACAATCTAAGAAGTCAGTACAATTTGTACCAGCATTAGTTAAATATTTATTCACTTTATCCATATTTCCCATTAGATTAAGCTGTTCACTGGTGTGCAAGAAAAAATCATTTAAAAGGTCTGCAATTACTTTTGGGTCTTTTATTATTTTATTTGATTTCTGGATTCCGTTTAAATTAAAATTAAAATCCTGCTTCCTGTTACCAGTTTCGTCCTTGACAATTGACCAAGCAACTGTAGTTTTGTTCTCTGCACAACTAATTCTTTTACTATTAAACTTCATTTTAACAGAACAAATACGGTAAAAATATACAATTTTTATAAAAATTAAAACTAAAATGCAAAAATCCCACAGCAAACAAAACAAAAAAAAACCATGCACAAAACTACTGTCAAAACAAAACAATCTGTTACTTACGTACATAGGAAAAACTCTCTCAAAGTATCCTTGGGAATGTCAAAGAAATCGCTGGTCTTATAAAGTATGTGGGAAAGCCAATAAAAGTGCCCGGAGATTGTTTTTGAATTTTCTGTTGGTTTGGTTCCAAGCTGTACAAGAAATGTGGTTAAGAAGCCTTATGCTAAACTGACTGGAATTTCTTTTTGTTTTACTTAACATAACATAAGGTTCATCAATATTTTTCTTTGTTCTGGTATTTTACATATGATAATAACCCCTACAATTTTTTATTTTTTTTACTTTATTTAATTTACAATCTGTTCAAGTTGAACAATAAGCAAATGATATAAATATAGTAATACAAAAATAACTTGAAGAACATGAGCTAGTGATTGACCACCGTCAACACTAGCAAACAAAGAGAATTTTGATAACACTTAGCCGAATCTGAATGGTAGGTCCAATATTGTATGTCGCTTCAGTCTGTAAATGGTGTTGTGATTGTCCAATAAATTAAGTGCAAGATGATTTGAATGATTTTCCAATTTTATAATGTATTTTTCACTATATTTTGTAATTTCTTCTTTTACTGTTCGAATTTGAAGATCATTGTGAAGTGTTCTGTTGGTAACAAACCAAGGAGCGTTGACAATTTTACGTAATAATTTTGATTGGTAACGTTGAATAATTTCAATGTTTGAGGTACTTGCTGATCCCCAAAGCTGAATACCATAAGTCCAAATTGGTTTTAAAACTGTTTTGTACAGTAACAATTTATTTTGTGTACTGAGTTTTGATTTAGATCCAAGAAGCCAATTAAGTTTAGTTGTTTTTAAATTTAGATGTTGCCTTTTAGTCCAGATATGTGCCTTCCAATTAAGCTTTGCATCTAAGTGCATGCCCAAGTATTTTATTTCCGTTACTTGAGGGAGGTGAATATTGTTCATGGATACTGGAGGACATGTAGCCTGATTTAAGGTAAAAGTAATGTGTGCTGATTTATTTTCATTAATTTTGAACCTCCATGTTTTAAACCAATGA